TGGGTCGTTGCAGAAAGAAACCATTCACATCCAAATATTGAGCCATCGCAGCAACAACCCGGCAACGGTCATCGTCAGTGGAAATCTCCGGCCATTACGAATGACAGCGGTCGTGGAAGTCAGGCTCGTCTGTACGCTGACGAGAATGCACAACAACAGCTCGAATATCAACCAGGTGATCAGCGATGTGCATTCGTGATGTCGTCTTAGATCGCTCCATCCCAAACGATATCTATTTTGTGTCACAGCAATACCACCCGCATTTTCTATTGTAAACTGTTGTTTTTGTTGTTTTAAAATTCCCAGATTCCGGTTCAACGATCATACTACTCAAACCACCATATTCAGGAATTTGATTGTGACTTTTGATTCTCAACGTTGTCAATTTTTGTGTTTGTTTTCCTATCATCATATGCCATCATTCTATGTTTGAAAATCCCGGTTCGGAGATAGGATATTAATCGATGGGTTTCGGTTGTCTTATACTTCATTCAAGTGAATAAATAACTTTTCATTTCCGCATCGCTCATTGGGATTCATGGCTCGGAAACGGAATTAATCCATTATTTTGTATTGACATCCATCATTGATCAGCTGATTCGTTGTTCATTTTCATTTTTGGAGCACGCACAAAATTGAGTTGATCTTACCAGAACACATTCATAATGATTACTTTGATTTGCATGGTTGCGATTGATTGTTGAATGGTGCATGTCGAATGGTGGGTGCTTCCATGAATCGAACAGCATGAATCAAACATAAAATTATTTTTGATAGATCATTTTAGGGCCTGAAACGTCAGGGTACCATTCATAGAAATTAACTCTTTGAATATTATGTTTTGTGCTCTGAACTAGTGATGTTCCTGCTCCACACTTTTGGTAAAATGTTCCATTCCGCAGTTCACTTGTTCTGTTCCGTCCTATTCTGTGCGTCCTTTTTTGAGAACTGTTCTGTTTTGTTCAACCCCACCTATTTGTTGATCTGGTATGTTCCCGCACCCTCGGAACTTTTAAGTCGTTCCGTTTTGTTTTATTCTGCTGCTTAAACTGTTCTATACTGTTCCTGTATACTCGGTCAGACAGCTCGGTCTCAACTCGACGCACAGACTCCCATAGTGATGAGTCTGGAATGAATCGATTTATTCACTCCGACTCAATTCTTCCGAGCATAACTTTTGTAAGGATGTACAATGTGAACGATTTCAGCATTAGACTGCTCCTAAAGCTCAGAGTATGATCAATAGTTGAAAATAGTTGAGGTTGGAAACGTAGTTGTTTGGCGAAATCAGCGCAAGAATAAAAGAATTGGGGTGGTAGAAGGTTGTGCCGGCAGGGAGTCGGCTGTGGCACCCAATATCTTTGAAAGAGCAGGGGCACTGTAACTTTCAACCTTTGGATGCAAACTCGATATGACAAGTAGGGATTAGTATTTTGATTCTGGATCAGAAACATTTCATGTGTGTGAACTACTTCATGCGTTCTTGCCCGTCACTATTGGTAAGCGTCGTAATTGATCTCAAAGTTTATTCGAGTGCCGTTCGTCCTGACAGCTCGGTCTCAACTCGACGCACATTTTCCCATAATGATGAGTCTGGAATGAATCGATTTGTTCAATCCGACTCAATTCTTCCGAGCATAATGTTTTATAGGGGTGTAAAATGTGAACGATTTCTGCATTAGATTGCTCTTAGAGCTGAAAATATGATCAATAGCTGAAAATAGGGTGTTGATCCAGGATCAGAGTTGCACCCTTTCGTCACTTCTGGACAGATGTCTCATATACCGTTAGCAGTTTAGAGAATAAACCGCAACAATTCTCACTGATATCCTTTATTCTCTCACCAGTGGTATCAAGTACGATCATTTCTGGTGGATCCGAATCAGTAACAGCTATCAGCACTGAATCACTTGAAATTCCTCTATCATCCTCGACAGGCCTCAAACATCCTTCGACGAAGTGACAATAATCCATGATCTAACAAGAAATTGCAATGAAATTATTCATCAATGTTTATCAGCATTATGAAACTTGATCAAAATCACTCAATGGATAAATTTTCCAAATCTAAAATACTAAAGATTATCGCACGATTCGGTAACTGCCATTATACTAGGAGCAATGTTTTAATGGAATGGCTGTAATTTACAATCAGTATGATGCGTATTCTATAGCAGCTNTAATAATAACAATAATAATACCAATAATTAATATTAATAATTATAATAACATGAAGATAATATTAATAATAACAGCAATTAATAATAATAATAATAATAATAATAATACCAACAATAATAACAGCAATAGCAATCATACCCCAAGGTAACATATCTCATTATCATCTCATTATTCATAGAATATTTCAATGAACTGTTTTGTTCCGCCCTTCGCACTATTCTATTCCA